GCCCCCGCCCCAGCCCCGTTGTCTAACCATTTCCTACTTGCCCCCCTACCCCCGTTCGTTGCACCCTCGAGTGTAGGCCATCAGCGCGTAAAGCGGCATCGCGTAAAGCAAACCATAGCATACGCAGACGATGCATGTGATGTCAACCGCTAAGCATGTTACGCACGTGCGCACACTACGCACGTAAGAATGCCACGCACATGCACGTAAACTCAACGCAGTGCGCAGGAAACGCACAATGCGGAAACTATACATGGTAGTTTCCGAATTGTGGGGTTTGGCGCCACAGGCGCCACTTTTCACAGCCACAGCCACATACGCCACATTTCACAACCACATACGCCACACTTCACAGACACATGCGCCACATGAGCCAGAAAGTTCGGGGACAGAAAAACCAACATACTCCAACATCTTTCAAATACCAAGGGGGCATGACTTGTGCCTCCTGGGGGGCCTGTTTTGTGACGTGTCGGCGGCCTCTTGGAGGCCTCTGGGGCCGTCTTGGGCCTTCTTGGGGCCACCTTGGGCCGTGGCGGGTGCATCTTGGGCCGTTTGGGGGACATCTTGAAACAATAGTTGGCTTTATTGGGGCCATCTTGGCCGTCTTGGAGGCCATCTGGGGCGTCTTGGGAGCCTCTTGGGCAGTCCAGGGGGAAGGCCCTGGAGGCTGTCGGCCCCGCCTGTGATGTTGATTTCGCGCCGTGGGCCTGCTTTCGAGGCCCCTTCTCCTCCTCCTCGTCCTCCTCCTCCTCCCCCTCCCCCCCCTGCCTCCCCCTGACTCCCGCTGCCTCCCCCTGCCTCTCCCTGCCTCCTCCTCCTCCTCCTCCTTCTCCTCCTCCACATCCCCATCCTCTTCCCCCTTGTCCTCCTCACCCTGCTCATCTTGTCTCCTCCTCCTCCTCCTCCTCCTCCTCCTCCTCCTCTTGCCTCCTCCTTTTCCTCATCCTGTCCCCTTCTCCTCCTCCTCCTCCTCCTCATCCTCCTCCTCCTCCTCTTGGCCTCTTGTGTTTCAATTGCTTCCGCGCCCGTAAGGGCGCGGAAGCAGTTGAACCAGAATTCTCGCGGGAATTCTCGCGCGGTTGATCGGGCGCGTTCGCGGGCGGGCACAGTTACATGTATGTTCGGGGCAAAGCCCCGTGCGGATTCGACCAGCGCTGCTCATGCCAAAACCACAGAAACAAGTTAGGGAAGTTAGGGAAGTTAGGGAAACACGTTGTATAAGTTATATCGAAGTTATGGTATTGCTCAAATGCTTGCGCGCGCGAACATTAGCATCTTCATCATAACTCTCATAATTCACGCAAGTGCGTGGACGGCGCTGCCGCATAACTTCCACAATCGGGGTTGACATGAACATTAAACCGCGTAGATTTCCGCGCAGTTAGCGAACTTATCGCTCTTCAAGTTATAATGTAGCATTACATGTGTTCATGATTTGTAGATGTAGCACTTTAACATACTTTCAACGCGAGCAACTTCGCGCCGATCGCAAAGATGTTGGCCGCGACGCCGCTGTCCGCAGCCCCAGCGCCCTTGTCGCCCTTGTCGGTGATGCCTGCGTCGCCCTTGTCGGTGGCTGAGTGGTCCGTGGCCCTGGCGCCGCTGACCACGATGTTCGTCTTGTTGCCGTTGTCGGCGGCTGTGTCGCCCTTCGCGCCCCTGGCAGCGTCGTCCATCGACGTGATCGCTGCCCTGATGGCCTTGACCTCCCCCTCGAGCTTGTCGATCACTTTCTCGACGAGGGCGTCTTCCTCGCCGCTTCTGGGCTTGACCTGTTGGACTGTCACAGTGAACATCATGTCTGGACCCGTGGCCACCTGCGGGTGGACGACGCGCTGCCTCTTGGGCACGCTTACATCAGCCTCATCTTGAGGATCACCACATTGGATTTCCACGCTGACTGGGATGTTGAAGGAGAACTGCACATTCTGCTGGTCGCGCTGACTGCCGGGCGGCATGTTCACGCGCAGGCGAACTTTACAGCCCTGTCTCGCTTCGCAGCCTTCCGCCATCATGGGCGAAACCCATTAAAAGCAAAGCGCGCGCCACAGCGCGTTACTTCTCGAGCCGAAATGGCGACGCACAGGAGGGGGGAGGAGGGAGGAAGGAGGGAATGTTTCTTGTTTCTTGTTGATGACCGCCCCTTGTTTTTTTTTTTTGGAGTGTCTTGGACCTCTCTGAAGTCTTTTTTTGGAGTGTCTTGGGCCTCTTTGAAGTCTTTTCGTTCCCTCTGGAGCAGACCAGAGGGGGTCAGAGGGGAAGGGAATGGGGGAGGGGTGCAATTATTTTCATACTGTCTCGCTATCCCTCGATTTATGGTTTGTCAAAGCCTGGTAAAAAGCAAGCAGCGCCATGCGCGCAAGAGTGCACATGCATGATCATGGGTTTGTGATTGGCACTTGGGGTCCATTGTTTTTTGTTCGCGCCTTGCGCCAAAGAGCGCAGCTGACCCCCAAGCATATCTAGACCCATCCACCTGCATCTGGAACCAAGGGGAGCGCCAATCACACCCTCTGCCCTACAAAACTTCACGCTGCAAGAGTGCGGTGGCCAGCAAGCTGGCCCCCGCTGGCTGGAAGGCAAAGCTTACGCTGGCATGTTGCAGTGGCAAGAACTGCCTGCTGGGATGGTGGCCACCCCCTTCAGCACAACTGCTGGCTTGACCGGAACGATGCCCTTCGGCCCCACACGCACATGCCAGATGACCTGGAGGCACTGGCAGTTCCAGAGCGGGAAGGGCAACTTGCTACCGACATTCGAAGCACCCAAGGGCGCCGCTGGGCCATCCTCCTTGATGACAAATGCGACGCGGTTGGTAGCCTCCAAGGTGAAGTTCCTTGGATCTGCATCATCCACTGTCATCTTGTGGTAGTTCACCGCCATTTCTGGCAACTTCTCCCTCTCCTTGTTGATGATGGCGCCCAGGGTCTGCACATTGTTGTTGAGCACCACGAGGTCAGAGGAGCTTGTGAGCAGAAACGTCAGCTGCTTGGCAGTAGGATCCGTAGTGCCCGGCAGCACCTTGAAGCTCCCCCTCCCGAAGCCACAGATGTTCACATGCGCTGCCAAGGTCATCTCTGAGTCGTTCTTGTTGCATATGTAGATCGCATTGCCAGCCCGGATCTGCAGCCAGGGCCCTCCACCCTTGCCCGGGAGCTGCACCTCCAGGAGCAAGGCCGTTGTGATGGTTGAAGATTCCACCACGCACACTGTCTCGAGCTTAGCAGCCTTCTTGGCAGGGCTGTCTCGTGGCGGCTCATCAGCAGCGCGCTTCTTGCTGTCCTGTGGGGTGGCGCTGGTTGTGTCGACCACTTCATATTTCTGCAAGAACTCATTCAGAAATGCATTGAAATCACTGCCAATCGATGGGTGGAACTGCCATTGCTTGGCGAGCTCCACAGGCATTTGCAGCCTGTTCTTCTCCGGGCCGCCGATCACGAGCTTGTTGAGCCTCGGGTGCGCAGGGAGGGGCTCGACCAGGTCATCTGGCATCTTCTGCGCGACTTTCTCCTTCCCTGGAACCTCGAAAGCACCCTCCATGATTTTTTCCTTTACGTACTGAAGGCGCTGGAACTGGACCCAATCGACCTCCACCTGGTTCTCGCATGCCCCGTAGAAGAAGAAGGATGTTGGCAGTGAGCCACGCATCTTCACGAACGATAGTACAAAGTCGCCCACGTTCACATGCAGGTCGATGATCAGCGCCGCCGTCATGGTGGCAATGTCGGCGCCTTCAGTCAATCCCTCCAAGACCGCGGTGGCTGCTGGCTCCCCCAGCTGCGAATACTTGCTGGAGCCATGCACCAACGCATCCCTCTCGCTCGTGCTGTTAGGGAGCGCGTCGGCTGACAAGTCCTCCAGGCGGGGGCATGACATTTGAGAACATACATCAAACAATAGAAACTAACCCTATAAAAGTCAACATATAAAATAATCAACCACGATAAAACAACAAAGAATGTAACATCCTGCACCAGGCACCATCAGCACCACCAGAACTGATTCTAAAGGGGTCACTCCCCTAGGGGGGGGAACCTGAAGTGAAACGAGCACATTAGATGGGACCACCAAACCACGCATGCCATGATGAGGCCAAAAGAAAGTCCTTCCAAGCCACCCAGCCCTTGCCCACCGCCTTCAGATAAGGAGGGGGGGACCAGGACTGCGATCCTCGACGATCTTGAGGTTCCGCGACGCGATCTGGGAGATCTCCTTCGTGCGCCGGTCTTTACGCAGGCTGCAGCCATAGAAAGGGCTTGAGCTGAGGTCCATGAGCGGCGCAGGGAATACAATCCTCCCCGGGTATACCATGGGCCTCTGGTCCCTGGCGTCGGCCTGGTCCTTGTACAGGATCGAGAAGGTAGTGTCCACATTGTGCGAGGACGATGCCAGTGCCTGCAGGGATTTGATCTCCTCGAGGTGGATTTTCCCCTTGCCATATGAGTAGACTGGCAGCACCACGGCGCCACAGCTGTTGACGTTTTCGTGGGGCGCCCATCCTAGTACCTTGGACTGCCTGTCCTGCGTTGCCGACGCGATGGTGCATGGCGCTGCCCAGTTGAGCAAGACCACTGTCGGGACCTCTGATGGGAGGGCCCCCACTTTCTTCTGCAGGACTTCCCGCTTGAAGCTGAGCACATCTGCCACCAGCTCCTCGTGCTTGCTGGGCCACGCGACGAGCCGGACACAGGAATCCATCCAGAAGTTGGCTGAGTCCGTGGCCCGGGCGAGCATCTGCAGCTTGAACTCCTTCAGGGGGGGGGGGCGCAAGAAAACACAAGTCCATTCAGAGGGCCCTTGCCGGGGGGGAATGGCCAAGGGGTAAATCAGCACGAGCATTTCGTCACCATGAAACCATAGAGGCCAGAAGGCCCATCCCAGAGAACCGAGCCAGGAACACTCGTGACATACACAAGGGAAAAGCAGCGACAGAGCGCGAGGTTCTGCGCTCGCGACCTGCGAGCGACCTATCGGCAACAAAACGCACGCCGCCGAGCTCACATTCGGAGGGGCAGGAGGAGGAGCAGGAGGAGGGGGAGCGAGGAGGAATTGTCGAGGAAGAGGGGGAAGTGGAGGAGCAAGAGGAGGAGGGGGAGAAGGAGGATCAGAAGGAGGTGGGGCTCCTGCTGCTTGTGGTAGTGCGCCGCATGCGCTGTGCTGCACTTCCTCTCCCAGACCTCGAAGGCTTGCATGTCGTACCTGATCTGCTTAATGGTCAACTCGTAGAGGTCGATGTCGATGGTGGCCTGGGCCGTCGTTGGATTAGCAACCGGGTTGCTGAACACGCGTGCGTCCACGAGTGCCTTGAGTGCGGGAACGTGCACTGCGACATCGAACATGTCAGACTTGTCGATCAGCGCGGTCTCGATTTCTGTGTTGATGTGGTCTGACCCCTCTGACCATGGGGCCACCCACGCCTCTAGGATCTTGACGTCTGGGATGGGCACCTTCGTCTGGAGCTCTGCAGCCAGAGCCAGGCAGACTGCAGCGCGCTCTGCCATGCTCTCTACCTGAGCAGATGTAAGCTTCTTCCGATTATCAGGCGAGGCCTGCTCGTTCAGGTTTTGCGCCCGCTGCACCATGAGCATCATGCTCTTAGATGTGGTCTTCAGCCTAGGCAGCCACTGCTTGCTCTTTGAAGGAAATTGGTGCCTCGGATATATTTTCTTGCTAGCTAAGTTGTCATCGCTCCAGCAGCAGTTGGACCAGCCCATGGTCCGCACATGGCCCATGATTGAGGTCAGGGTGTCTGGAGGGGCGCAATCCAAGAGGAGCTTGAGCGTCACTGCGCGACGCCCTGTGATCTGGTGCGTCATGGTGGACATCTGGTTCCACCTCCCAGGGGCAGCAACAAGTCAAACACATTGCTATCACATGCACAGGACCACGCGCATCTTCCTGCGCAGGCCCGCTGCACAGGAAGAACGCACCTGGTGCCTCATGTTTGTGACAACGTTTCGTCGTATGCACTAGCATGGAAAACTCATGACCACTGATGGCCCCTGTGCCCGGGTCAGACCATTCAGAAGCCGCCCAAAGCGCATCGATGCCATGCATACTAGGACATGGTGGGCCTCGAAAATCACACCCGCTGAAACCACTCATGACAGTAACTCTGAAAAAGGCCGGCCTCCCAGGGCCTGAGTCCAGATACTTGGGGCACGCCCCCCAGGGCGCGCCAAAAAGGTAATCAAACCCACTAGTAAAACAGATTACATAGTGTACCCTCTCCACCTCCTCACGAACAACGCCGGGTCTGTCAGCCCATGCTGGGAGAGCTTCTGCAGCATCAGCACAGTGGTGATCACGTTGTTCGCCTTCCTGACTGATCCGCGGGCTGAGTACTTCATGTTGGCCAGTCCCTCCTCAATCTTCGTTGAATACTGCACCTTGAGCGCGAAGATCTTCTGCACAGTCTCTGCCAGCACCGGGTGCTCCTTGGAAACATCGAAGTTCTTCTTGAAGTACAAGAAAAGGATGCTCAGGAGGGTGGTCACACGGGCCTGTCCCTTGACATACCCTAGCGACATGGTAGTCAGCCCCCCCGCCCAGGGCGCCGGGGGGCCCACCTTCAACAACTCCTGGGGCTGCGTGATCAGGAGGGGCTCTCCATTCGTCACGAAGCCGTCCATCATGATGTGCTCGCAGAGCTGCATGGCCACTTCGCGCCCAGGCGGGCCCTTGACACTACACCCCGAGTCGAAGCCCAGTGCCAGCACATGAACAGTTTGGGCAAGTTCAGTGCTCATCTCTGCCTCTGGAACACTGCTAATCTCAGGTGAATGGCAGCACAGAGCGTCATCTTTTTCCTGGAAGGATGGCCACAGCCACTCTGCAAACTCTGCACGAACAGTCATATCCTTCATCTCCTTCTCCAGGAAGTGCTGCGGTGTCCCATGGACCTTGCAGATCTCTGCCATGGTCGCCACAGTGTATGCCTTCAACTCGTTGAGCGTGGCCATGTTCGGCTCAAGAGGAGGTGGCAATGCCCATGCTTCATCGTTGGTCACGTGATCCGCGTCTGCCATTGCAATGCGACAGTGGCTAGGCGCTCGTGCCGGCAAACCAGTCGAAGTCGAGCCCTTCCAGCGTGCAAACCTCGAGCCAAAGATGGCTGCAAGTGGGCGGGGGAGGATGGTTGGAGGAAGGAGGGGGTAGGGTTGGAGGAAGGAGGCAGAGAGAATGAGGGAGAGAGGATGGGATGAGAGAGAGAGAGATGTATGTGCGTGCGTGCGTGTGTGTGTGTGCGTGTGGACGTCTGCATTTACGTGTATGTGCATGCATTTATGTATGCATACTGTATACATTTATGTATATTCACATTGTATTGCTGTATATTTCATTGTCACGTCGTATATATGCATATCATGCAACCTCCTGGGCCAGCAGTCACGCGCATAATGAAACATTGTATCAGCCCTCCTGGGGGAGCTAGAGAGAGAGAGGGAGAGAGGGATATCCCCCTGCCTGATAGCCAGCAAAGTTGTTTCACAATCATCAAAGCTTGAGGTTTGGAGGTTCATTACATGCATGGTGGATGCCTTCTTGGAAATGTTTTTAGCCTGCAAGCTGGTTCAGAACGCGCGCTCTAGACTCGCTAGCCACAAACTCGGGGCTCACAGAGACAGGCACAAGCTGATAGCTGGAAGGGGAGGGGGCGATGCAGAACAACAGACCGGGGGGGGGGGGACAGGACCAGTGATCCAGCCAACCTGCCCTCCCAAGCGGGGGGAGGCCCAAGGGGAATCAATTTGTTGTTTGTGTTTTTTTCTGGGGGGGGGGATTGTTGAAAGCCACGCCCCAGCCCCCCTACACACTCCCACTCCCGCAACCCTTCATCAACCACCCTGCCCCCCTTGGACGCCCCATGTGGACATCCCCTTGACGCCCCGGACACTACTGGGACATCCCACAAGCCTTGGGAAGCCTCGGAGAGGAGCGCCCAGGAAGCTTGGCGGGGCCAGGGGGCACAGGGGAAGGTCAGCGCGGGAGTTTCCAGGGGGGGCGCGGGGCTTGGGGGGGGTCATCATCTAAGTTCTGCATCGCCCCCAGTGTATGCGCATGCCTAATCCCACTTATCCCAGGCAGACGTCAGCTCTTTGACCTTGTTGGGCTGCCAGTTGCTTGACGAACTCGTTGCTCCTGCATCCACGTTGATTTCCATGCTGTTGTGCTCCGCGAGGGATTTTGTTGATTCTGTTGCAGATGCCTCCTTCTGTTGATGTGCTGCCTCTGCTGCGCGACGGGCTCTGCGGCGAGTCTCGCGAAGATTGTGTTTGTCCATCATGACCCTAAGTCTCTGTCCTGAGGAATCCCAAGGCGCTGGAATGAACTTGAATGGGAGCACGCCTGGCTTCCCGGCTCGGAGTCTGTGGGATTCAGCATCCGCGTATCCCATCAGGGCTGTTTCATATTGCTCCATGCAGAACCCCCAGTATTGTGACGTCACCCCTGGAGCATGCGCATACAAATCCTGCCACAGATCAGCAGGCCCTGGTCCATCAGGCGCCCACCCCGCCCAGGCTGCAGTAGCAGGGTCCTGGTCCGCATCCACAGGTGTGTATTGTACATTGCCCGAGTGCATCAGGTGCAGGTGTGGCCAGTGAGGTCATGCGCAGAGCGCTGCCAGATCGCATGAGCCAAAAACTGCTGCAGGCTGTTCTGTGTTTGTTGTTCGATGCGCATGCTGTTGTGCCCACATATTTGCTACGCAGAATTGTTTGGGCCCTAGGGGCACAGGCACAGATGCGCGACGGCACAAGACATTGTGAGCAGGAGCCCAGACGAGGAGGGGAGGGAGTAGAGGGAGTCAGGGGGATGATCACATTCCCCCACCAGAGCTTGCATCTGTAGGGGTCCTAACGGATTCATACAGTTGGGTGAGGTTTGCCACCGATTTCCGCGGCCCGCTTGGTTGCCCGGGTACCTCAGTGCCCGGGTGCTTTATAGCCCTATAGCCCTATAGCCCTATAGCCTATAATCCCATAGCCCAATGGCCCTCAAGTCCGATAGCCAAAATAGCCCAAATACCCCATATAGCCCTACAGCCTTATACCCATATAACCCTGGAGCCAAGAACCCTATAGCGCTAGAGCCCTATAGCCCTATAGTCCTGTAGCCCCAAATAGCCCTACAGCTTTATAGCCCTATAGCCATACAGCCCTGGAGCCCTAGAGCCCTAGAGCCCTATAGCCCCCTTAGCCCTATAGCCCTATAGCCCGCTAGCCCTATAGCCCTGTAGCCCTATAGAGCTATAGCCCCAGAGCCTTATAGCCATGTAGCCCTATAGCCCTGTAGCCCTGTAGCCCTATAGCCCTATAGCCCTACAGCTTTATAGCCCCATAGATTTATAGCCATAGAGCCCTAGAGCCCGATAGCCCTATAGCTCTATATGCCTATCGCCAAATAGCCCTATAGCCCTAGAGCCCTGGAGCCATAGAGCCCTATATATAGACCTGTAGCCCGATGGCCCTATAGCCCTATAGCATTTTAGCCCCAGAGACCCATAGCCCGATAGCCCTACAGCTCTACAGCCCCACAGCCCTACAGCTATACAGCCCTATAGCCCTATAGCCCTAGAGCCCTAGAGCCCTATAGCCCTATAGCCCGATAGCCCTAGACCCATACAGCCCCAGAGCGCTGTAGCCCCAAAGCCCAATACCCCCATAGCCCTACAGCCCTAACAGGCTTCTGATTGGGGCTTTTCTCCAGTATCATGATAATGTCAATGATCGGGAGCAGCGGAGGCACAGGGGTCAGGAAAAGGACAAGCGAACGAGCACAGTCCAGCACATCTTGGTAATGGTTTTTGAGACCTGGAGATGAACGGGGTTCCATGGAATCCCGTTCATCTTGGCCCTGTTGCGATGACCCTGTACATCTCGCTGGGCCTCGGCCCACTTGCTAGATGCACAGGCCTCTCGCCAATGGAGGCCAGATGAGCTGGATTCCATGGAACCCCGCACTTCTCCATGACTCAGAAACCATTCCCAAGATGAACCGAGCGCGCTTGGAGGTAAGGCCTCAGAAGAGGGGGGGGGCTTGGCCCCACCAGTTGCCCAGGGGCTCTGAGATGAGCCGGATTCCACGGAACCCCGCACATCTCTGCATCCATCCAGCTCCTCAGTGATGCCAGCGGGTTACAGGGGCGCATTGCGCCCTTCTCGCTGTGCATGGAGGGATATGCAGCGGATTCCATGCTGGGATGTTCACAGTGCCAGTTGTGCGAGGGGGCCTGAGATGCACCGGATTCCCCGGAACCCCGCACATCTCATGGTCCCAGTTGTGTGAGCCCCCCCCCCAGGGGGCCCGAGATGTGCTCCTCCCTCCCTCCTCGTCCCTCCCTCCTCCCTCCTCCTCCCTATTCCCTCCTCGTCCTTCCTCCTCCCACCCTCCTCCTCCCCACCTCGTCCTCCCTTACCTTCCTTCCTCCTCCCCCTCCTCCTCCTGCCCCCCTTCTCCCTCCTCGTCCCTCCTTCCTCCAACTCCCCCCCTCCCTCCTCCTCACTCCGCCCCTCCCTCATCGTCCCCCCTCCTTCCCCTCTTCGCCCTCCCCCCCCCTCCACCCCTCCTCGAGGCCCTCTCCCCGCCCCCCTCCCCCTCCACGCCTAAAGCTCCAGAGCCAATGTATTGTTAACATCATGCTGTCGATCTGGGGAGCCCAGGCCTAAGGAACACCAATCAAACCTCACAGATCTGCAAGCAGTGCACAACAGCAGAAGAGGAAGGGATTGTTTTCAATCGAGCGTATATGAATACTATCTCCCTTTAGTTGTATGTATGCTGTCAGCACGCTGGCAACAAACGGCCTGAAGCTTTTTGAGAAGCAACCCTGAAACATGTCAATGCCGAAACTCCCAGATTTTCAAGCCGCGAGCAACGTAGGAAGAGGGAGGACTTGTTTTTCCATAGTAGCATACATGTTCTTTTACAAATGAATTTGTGTGTCTGCTGCCAGCACGCTGGCAGCAAACGGCCTGTAGCTTTCTGATAATCAGCTTGGCAATGTCAGTATGCAAGCGCCTCTGCACGACATCTGAAGAGTTCATTGCCAGTTCAGCTGACAACTCACAGATAGGCACAACCCATAATTCACACTGACTGGCCATCGGCACACCGAACACAATCATACAGGCACCTTCAGGGCTTCTAGTAAGCCTCTAGGCACCTCCAGGGACAAACAGTGCAACAGTCTCGTTAGAAAGTTGAAACACCTCCACCCCATCAGGGCCATAGAAGAAATTGCGGCGACTCCCCTCATCCGCGAAGCGGCGGCAGCGCCCGCATCCTTTGCACACGTACCGGCACTTGGAGCACCCATGCTTCTTGGGCAGCAAGTGGAGCGCAACGGGCCCCATGGCGACCAGGTTGGGGCCATTGAAACCTAGCAAGGGGGCCTCAGGGGGCATGATGGGCAATGCCACCGCTGCCGCCGCCGCAGCTGCCGCTGGGTCCACAGGCAGCACAGCCGCACCATCCTCCGCTGCAGCCGCCGCTGCCTGCTCAGCTGCACCCTCCACGAGCTCTGCTGCAGCAGCCGCTGCTGCCGGGCGCTTCTTCGCTGCAGCCACCGCCGCTGCCGGGCGCCTCTTGGCGACCTTGGGGGGGCCGCCGCTGACAGCCGACGCAGCCGCCCTCTTCGGATTCTTGCCACCCTTCTCATGTATGACCACTTCGCGTGGAAGGACCCCAGAGGCCCCATCGAGGATCAGCGAGCAAAGCTTCAGGTCTGAGGAGCCCATGGCAGGCATATCGTACTCATGGATGAACTTCAGCAGGGGCGGGTTCGGGATCAGACCCTTTTCGTTGTCGTCACACAGCTTGTGAGGGTAGGTGGAATCTTTGAGGAGCCGCCACGGCTCCTGCGCAACAGCCTCCGCAGTCTTGCGAAACTGTTTCCGGATGCTCTCGCCCAGGTCGTTCACCTCTGCAGGCTTCAGCGAGTCCTGGTGGCAGGGGCCAT